AAAATCGTTGCTATCATAAAGGTAAACCAATTCAGCCACTCGAAATATATTGGCCTTCACAAAGCAATGGAGGCAAAATTGAGAGTTCATGAGCTATGAACATTTGTTCTTTTCTTTGTCTTGAACTTTCCATACTCCACAGCCCCTATTAATTTTTATTAATTTTAATTACCATGTGATGGTCATACATATCTTTAACTTGTATTTTCTGTCATGATGTATTATCTCAATGTGCCAAATTATTAATTAGTGTGCATATTTTGCTTCCAGATGACATAAATGAATTGTCATGTTTATTACCTCAGCTTGGAGTATTGACAAGAAAAAGGTGCCAGTAAATTAGGTAAAAAAAATTTCAACTCATTGTTATAATCAGAATTCACAATCAATAGGAATTATAAACAGCCAACAATCAGTGAGAATTATATGCGAAATCCCTCAGAATAAATTTGTCTAAAATCGGAGGAAGGCAAAAAATATAGGTAGTTTCCATCCACACAAGCATTTCAAGAAGACTTGCTCGAGCCAAACTAAATGAGCATCGTCAGGTGATCGGTAAGGCTGCAAGTTGAATTCAGCCCTGCAACCTCCTGCATAGAAGATAATATTAATTAGTGGGCTATGAGCTAAATTCCTAAATTTAAACAAACCTATCTACGATGCATTATGTACCAGCAATGTTACCTACGATTAACTGAATATGTAATATGTCTAATAAATTCACCTACAAAAGCAAGTTCGATAGGTGCAAACTTTGTGTTATGGAATTGTATCGCAGCACAGTTTTGTATGACACCCTCTTTAAATAAAATTTCAATGATTAAGCGCAAACATTAAAATTACTAACTTTGAACTTTGTCATTATCTGCAAAATGTTCCACACAAATCTTTCCGCTATCGCGTTTGTAATCTTCTCTGATAAAAAAAAGTCTATGATGTCCAGAATTGCTCTTTACAGCTTGCCTGTTATTCCAGCTTTCCAAGTAAGCGAAACTTCTTAGATATAGAGATTATTTTGTTTCGTTACAGGCGCAAAAAGGCAGGTACTACACGTAAAAAAGACGCCGAGTAGCAAAAGCGAGCGGAAAACGGACGCGAAAGGCGAAGAGAAATATGTGCATTGGAGCGTATCATGAAATACAATGTTTTGCCTGTAGTCTTATGGAGTGACGTCAGAGTTGCCTATCATGTTGTTTAATGTCATTGCTGTAACATACTATTGCTCATTCACTTTTATTTGCGTATTGAATCAAAGGGTTAACAAGTTCACCTAACATTTCACTCATACCTGTCTATATTGTATAGTCTGATCTCTCAAGTATTTGGAGCCACGAATGCTTGTAATTTTTCGACTAAATCCCCTTATTAGTTGGTTTATATACCAAATTCAGTAAAACAGTTTTTACATTAAGCATGAGATATTGGATTTATTAGCTTTTCCATTCTAAATCATATAGACTGCTCTATTTATTCTTAACGAAAATTAATAAATCTCCTCTCTTTCTTCAGATGTGAAAGCTGTGGACAAACCTGTCTAAGCATTGTAGGACTCCTGCAGCACATGAGGCAATAGCAAAAATAGTAAGTATACCAATCAAGAAATTAAGCCGACATAAAGCAAAACTTTCAACCATTCGTCTAACCTCAATTTCCTATTATTTTTTCACAGGACAACTGTTGCAGAAGGGGAGATATCAGAAGTCTGGCGACATATCAGTGACAGTGTGATTCCAAGAAATATAATTAGAATACTCCATAAATGTTTGCAATAAAAGAACAACCTATGGGGACATGCAAAGACATTTGACCCTCTGGTAGAGTTGTGTATGGCCCCTACATCCTGCAAGGCTTGAGAAAAATAACTAAAAATTCCAAAGTGTAAGATTGCATAAGCGGTCTTATTTGTGAAAAGGCACAAAACGTGCCAGGCATATTTAAAACAGCTTTGAAAAATGAGGATTACGGGTCACTCACTGCACCTGTGTTAGAATTGGTTCATCAACTTTTGGTAGTACTATAGAAAAAATTCAGAAAAGGGTATAATCATGATCCATGATAAAATACTGGTATAAATTTGGACAACTTCAATCTAGACCAGGGAAGTCAAACTCGCGGCCCCGGAGAACTTCCAGTGCGGCCCTCGAACGCTTAACAATAATTGTAATAGTATTTTGGAAGTTTTTTTTATCTAAATGTAACAGATTTTTCAAACTTTTTAAAGTTAAATTGAATATTCACACAGAAAACAATTTACTGAAAGTAGTTTTGGAAAATTAATTTTTTTTTGTTCACATTTTGACCCATTTAAGAATACACATCAAGCTAGCAAAAGAATACTTGAATAAAACACTTGAGTGAATAAATTAAACGCAAAGTACATGAAGAAGGTGGCATTTTCGAAGAAAATGGGAGTTGCAATATTTCTGCATTTCACATAATTCTCTGAAGCACATTGTTTAATTTGTCATATTTCCATCAGTACAATAAAAAAACACAATAAGCTCAGCAGTCAGCATGACAAATTCGAAGACCAACTTCGAACAGAAAATTTCCATGTGTTTGTATATTAATATAATTATACAACGATTTAGTTTCTAAAAATCAATATCAATAATAATTCAAGCAAGCCTATGCCATGCAGTGTGGCGCGAAATGTCTTGTCGGAAAAATCTGTCATTTGTTTTTTTACTGATCTATACATGAAATGATAAAAGTAACTTTTTTGCATTACTGGAATTAATTAAACATTCGCAAAGATCCAGATTAACCCATGATCATGTGACCTCGTTAGTTAGAGTTGGTACTATAAAATCATTTCAGCCTGGCCTTAGTATGCTGTTAACACAAAAAGATGCCAAACGTCAGGACAAGTGTAATTAAAAAAACATTGCGTTTATATTGTAGTATTTTTGTTAATTTTAGGTCCATATATTTAGATTAAGTCATTTTTAGTGTATGTATTATTCTTTCCTTATCCAAAGCTCGTTCAAAAATGATTTTGATGGTTGTACATAGAATTTTATGATTTTTTGTAATAAATACAGTAACTTGCAATAATAGTGGAATGCAAATATTAATATGTAATTGCATTTGAAATTGAAGAAAATAATAAAACTTAATCCAACTGTTTAGTTGCATCCTAATATATGTCACAAACTAAAACTATACGTATAGTACTGTACAAAAACTGTTTGCGGCGCTTTTTACAATTTCCAACAGACAATGCGGCTCTCGAAAACCCATGAGTTTGACACCGCTGATCTATTCTAGACGATTCAAGCATTGCTTTGGGAAATAATATCACTTCAATTAAATTCAAAACAATCCCGCTATATTAAATACAAAATCGTTGCTATCATAAAGGTAAACCAATTCAGCCACTCGGAATATATTGGCCTTCACAAAGCAATGGAGGCAAAATTGAGAGTTCATGAGCTATGAATTTTTGTTCTTTTCTTTGTCTTGAACTTTTCATACTCCACAGCCCCTATTATTTTTTTTTTAATTTTAATTACCATGTGATGGTCATACATATCTTTAACTTGTATTTTCTGTCATGATGTATTATCTCAATGTGTCAAACTTTTAATTAATGTGCATATTTTGCTTCCAGATGACATAAATGTATTGTCTTGTTTATTACCTCAGCTTGGAGTATTGACAAGAAAAAGGTGCCAGTAAATTACGTAAAAATTTTTTTAACTCTTCGTTATAATCAGAATTCGCAAATAATAGGAATTATAAACAGCCAACAATCAATGAGAATTATATGCGAAATCCCTCAGGGAAGGCAAAACATATAGGTAGTTTCCATTCACACAAATCTTTCAAGAAGACTTGTTCGAGCCAAACTAAATGAGCATCGTCAGGTGATCGGTAAGGCTGCAAGTTAAATCAGCCCTGCAACCTCCTGCATAGAAGATAATATTAATTAGTGGGCTATGAGCTAAATTCCTAAATTTAGACACAAACCTATTTACGAGGCATTATGTACCAGCAACGTTACCTACGATTAACTAAATATGTGATATGTCTAATAAATTCACCTACTAAAGCAAATTCGATAGGTGCAAACTTTGTGTTATGGAATTGTATCGCAGCACCGTTAAGAGAAGTAAAAACAGTTTTGCATGACACCCTCTTTAAATGAAATTTCAATGTTTAAGCGCAAACATTAAAATTACTAACTTTGAACTTTGTCATTATCTGCAAAATGTTCCACACAAATCTTTACGATGTCTTTGGCATTTTTGGTTGGTGAAATATTAAAAAAAATATAGAGGGGTGTCAAAATGACCCAGGAACACCAGCGGTCATTAGGTTAACTGTCAAAATAGATCGTAGTCGTTCCATCTAAAATCGACCAACCATTCCCAGCCCTAGCGTACAATCATTGAGGCCAGCACACACGCATTACGATTATGTCATAGATCGAAGATGGCCAGGTCTGGATTGTTCATGGCAAACGCGCTCTATGCGATTGTCCGAACCTTACTACCAAAACACAAACAGGAAAAATTCAAATCTTGGGAGCACACAATTGATATCTTGTTACCAACTCGTTCGTCGCAGTTCTACAGATGCTTATTCAGTACAAGCCACGACCTGACTATTCATTAAATTCGGTCTTTTAGAGTTAGACAATGTAACATCAATCATGGCACGAGATCAAATCTTGATTATCCTGCTTAAACAATATGTGCAATTGTCTTCAGGCTACAAGCCTGTGACTTGGATAGCGCACAACTGCTAGTTCGTATTCGTACGCTCAGTTTGTTTTCCCCTAATTTAAAGAACCTGAGGTGAACCCGGTTTACAACTAATAATATTATATTCGACAGTATTGCCGAATTTTAATTTGCTTGACATGAGCGTGCCAACATACTGAAGTGAAATATTCCCAACGCGTAATTCCATGACACTGTTTGTCGATATTTACATCAGCATTAATTTCGCAATAACTAAAATGAGACGAGAAAGATGATTCATGAATTTAGAGGTGCAACTACTACCATATTTTTTTATTCTCGCCACTAATTTTTAATTTAAAAACAAACTTGTTTTTAAAACTTAACAGAATAACCTTGGTTTTTTTATGCAACGGTCACATAACGTGCACTTTTATTGCAGGTTGGTGGGTGTGTCTCTCTGCTAACCAATCACACGAAATGTACCACCAACGTTTTTGAGGCGTCATATCATCTTCCCGATCTCCGAAGTTGATTTTTTTCTTTGTTTTTCATCATCTGGCCTTGTCACCCACATAACTTGAACAACAAAAAACATTTGCATCCAACACCATTGCGATACACCAATGAATGTTGCCATAAAGTGGATTGGTATCTACGATTATACAGTTTCCCATTCTTGAAGTTCTGATTGCGATTTCAGGTACAGTCGTTCAATGAGAAGGGGTTCTACAGGAGCTTGAAAAATAGCAGAGGGGTTCGGCAGGCTTGCGAAGGTTCAGAACCAATAATCCAATGAGAACTGACGAATACTGCTTCTACATATCTACCATCTTTGAGATTGAAGAATTCAGTAGAATATACAGTATATAAAACTTAATAAAAACAAATGCAGAGCGAGACTCCTGGCAAAAATAACTGGTAATTCAAAACTCTACCACGTCTATCGGCAGCATTCACCAATAAACCGTACGGTAGCGTTACTTATAGGTATAGCCATAAACTTGGCAGGGATTTTGTGTCAATGATTGTGCCACACCAATTCGTTTTACATTAGTTTGAAGTAAGAAAGACAGACAGAAGTTGTAACACGATTCATTTCATTTTTCAATATTCTGGCAAAATAGTTCAAAATGATGTAAAATTGCGCATATATGAAATTGAAACGACACATGCATAATGCAATTCAAGTAATGTTATTAGTAAAAATTGGCAAGCAAACCCAAAATTCATGAAAGAAAGAGAAGCGGAAAATTGTAAGAGAAACTCTGTAATGTCATTCATCACAAAAGTTAAAAGCAATAAAATCTTTAGAGGTAAATTCTAGATGGAAAATATATTTTATTATATAAATTGCACACAACAAACAGCAATTGAAAAATAGATTTTGACAACATGATAACAGAGAATAAAAACGAAATAAAAGAACCCTGGATCAGAAAAACCCTAATCGACGATACGAACGAGCCTAATCATAGCCAAGCTCAAACATTTCAATAGGGGCAGTATTTTCTTTGTTGACTTAAGAATAAATGTAATTGTTTGAGATAATCCGATGTAATGGACCAGGATGGTGCATAAGATGAACCGAATTCAAATCATTATTGTCATAACAAGTAATATTGGTACAAAAAAATAAAGCTAAGCAAATCAAAGATCTATAATGAAAATCAATTAACATATCTAAAAGGCTGCTAGCGAGTTCAACAGTATTAGCGCAAAGCCCAATTGACAAAAATATATCTCAATTATCAACTATGGGCTGATCTCAGTAGTATTTAAGTTTTCCCAAGTCTTATTCTCATTTGCTCTTTGAATACCCACATTAAAATAGTTTGCGGACCAAGTCTAACAAAAGCTGGAACAAATCCTTTAAAATATCCCAAAGGGCCAACTTTCCCAGTATCTACAACACAATGCCATGTGCTATTGAATTCACCAGGCTTGGCATTCATAAGACGAGTTTTCAAAACATCGGCTGGCTGGGTCATGGCAGTGGCTAAAGCAGCTGCTAAAAAACTTGACGTGAAATGAGTGACTATATTATCTTTAAAATATGAAGTATTTAACAAATTTTGTTTGATTTGGTCATAAAAAGCTATTTGGCCATTGGTCATCAAAATAGCTCTTAACGTTGCCATTTGAACTCCATTGAACAGTGATTTGACCCCTTCCCCCTTTGCAGTACTGAATAAACCATGAAAAACATGCCTATAATTTCTTCTTTGGTTCATTGGAAGCTTTATATCATTTTGCATCCTGACATTAATAACATCACAAGGTGTTCCTACAATTCCACCAACGAAGCCACCCACACTGGCTAGCAGCATTTTTTTGACAAGTGATGGATTCTTTTCTCCCTCTGATATGATAAATGGCCGAAGCAAATCATACACAGCAAACCGTGCAGTCGTATATGTAAGCTGTCTTCCAACTGAGGCACTGACCCCATTATATAAAGCAAGAGCTCCTTGACTGCGTATAATGGAAACAGCCATCTGAGATGCTCTGATTTTGCCTGTCTGTTGAGTTTGTAAATGCACTTTCAGTAAATCTAAAGGATGAGTGCAAAAAACGGCCATACCTCCAGCTACACCTCCATGGTACCATCTTGGTTTTCGGTTTATATCTGCTTTGAGCATAATGAAAGTGACTAAGTTACAGTAACTTAGTCGCTTATATATCTGTAAAAATAATCGATTCATATTCATCAGTCATTTTGTTCTTGTACAGTCACATTTGATAACTTTGCTCAGTAACAGTGTTGTAAACTTGATAGAAAAGAATATTCAAGCTTTTTTATGCAAGTAAGCAATGAGACAAATTGGTGCCACTTTGGGTTTTCTATCTCAGCAGTTGTGAGATCTCAGTGATTTTAGTATTATTAACCTAACCTTAACCCAACGATGGCAGGGTCAAGAACTGTTAATTCTATGAAAATGTCTATATGAGATTAAATATTTCGATTAATCATTGAAGATTTTGATATAACATCGAGCAAGTAAGATCACATACAGACATACCAAAATAGTTTTATGATGCTGAGATAACAAAGACACTTTTGATCACTGAATTGTCTGATAGAAGCAGTGTAATATTAAATGATGATCACCAAAAAGATTCAACTAGTTTGCAACAATTTTATCACAGGTTTAGTATTTTGAAATAAGTTTATCAATTACATGAAAATATTATTCAACTATATTAGCATATGGCAGTATGGTGGATCCTGATGATCCCATGGCTACTGCATATATATAATACCCTGGATTTATGAATAGTATGCAAATACTAAAATATATGCTCTGATTTCACCGACAATAAAATATGGCAGCATCTGACAGTCTGGGCCATCTGAGCCTTAACCAAGCCTGCTTGAACATTATTGCCATATACTGATTTAACTCTATTACGGTATCTCCCAGACCCAGTATATTATTATATGGTCTATCTCTACCTATCTATAGTTTTTGGAAATATTTGACTGTCATACAGATACAGTACTTCGATAGATGGATTGATATCACAAATTTAATACACCTCACGCTACACTTGCATAAACAAACAAACATGGATAGGTATGTTTTTCTCGAAATTTGCTAACCTGCAGTCCGCTAAGAAATCATGTATAAAAACACATTAATATAAACGTCTAACGTTAGAATGAGCGGCATCGCTCGACCCGAAGCAGTTAACGACTGCAAATTGCTCGCGCAATCTGTGTGGACAGCTGCTAAGGGAACGCCGATGCTTAACCGGCCGGTTATCAAAGCGACATTGAGAGCGAATCGCTGGATTGATTTCGCTGCAGGCCAGTCTAACTGCCTTTTTTGTAGGTCTGTTAATCCTCGTGCAAGCATTTAGTGCGTGAAGTTGGTCACGTAAGTAACAACAGTTTCATAAATCCTGTAAACAGATGCTGTCAGTCGTCGGTAACGAAGAAATAAAAAACCGTCGAAGTCAACCGCCATCGATGAGCACAGACGGCAAAATCGTACAAAGGAATCACAAGACATGTAAATCCTACAAAATTAGGGAAATTCTTCGATTGGAACCTGTGGCTTACTATGTTCATAATCGTTGGGCCGAATGCTGTATTGGTGATTTAGCTCGGCGATGTGGCACATCATTTTTTTTTCAACCAATACAACCAGTAAAAAACAAATAAATAACACAGGCACAAATTACAAGAAAATAATAAAGTACACAGTTTTACTGGGGAAGGGAAGTGGCGGGGAATCAAAAATGGTTATCGAGCAGCGACACCCGAAGTACCACTGATGTTTGTGGGTTTTGTGAGGGCAATTTTTACGATGGTGAGGAAGATGAGGGGTGACTGGATACAATGTCAGCGATGCCTCAGATGTCAGCAATGCTTCATGACATTTGTGCCGGTGTTTATGGCAGAAACATTCAAGCTTTAACATGTGAGGAATGCCAGTAATAATTTACCGGTACATATATATAAATAACTTGAGTGTTTCATTAGTTTAATTTCGTTATGTTATATATGGTAAAGGACATTCAGTTGATCAACTAAAGTGTGTGCATGCATTAGCAAAGCTTTTGTTCAGTTGCAAGTATATGACTGAATGATTAATAAGTTCTCATGCCTGGTGAGGTAATATGAACATCATTGCTCGCCCCCACTGTAATGCTCGGGGCTTATTATTTATGAATTTTTTAGGCGTTTCAGACGCATTCAAATAGTTCAGTAGTGTCTTTAATTAATTTTATGTAATGTTCGTTTTACCCATCCATGTGTCCGTTTTACCCGAATAAATTTTTCGGGAAAAGTACTCATATCTAACAAAATATTAGGCGGATTGCCGAAATCGACAGTGGGCTGTAGGGCACGTTCAAATTGGTTATTTTAATACGAGAGTCACGCTTCTATATGGTGAAGATTACGAGAAATTAGGATTTTGCTATAGTGGTGTCCGTATTTGAAGGGCCTACTATACTTATATGAGTTGAATATTACCAAGCCTCGGAATCCAACCAAGATTTGTCTAATTCGCACTGTCCCGATTTATTGTTTCATATGTACCGTGTTTCCCCGAAAATAAGACCTATTCGGAATTTCAAAAATGATTTCAATATAAGCCCTCCCCTTGAAATAAGACCTAGTCAATAACATCAATTTTTTTAATTTGACCTAGTCGATAACAAGAAATCTTCCCTACACGTTTTGAATGATGAATTTGAAGTTATTTTGAATAAAAACTGTTGTTTATAAGTAAATGAATATAGGTTTCCCTATTTGGTACCGGTATATTTGAAAATCTCGTAATTCTCTACTTTGTAATTTTGTTTTTGATAAATGAAAATAAAAGACGCCCCCCGAAAATAAGCCCTAGTATTATTTTTCGGAAGAAAATTGAAATAAGACCCAGTCTTATTTTCGGGGAAACACGGTTTCGGTATATGGTAAGCCTAATACTATTAGCTATTAGTTTAACAACAATATTTAGCAGCGCTCGTTTTGTGTCCCGAAATGTGCAAGTAGTGTGCACAAATAGGCGTCGATGTCCGATGATGCGCTTCAAATAGGGGTTCCGATCCGGAGAAGTTAAAGCGAGTAGGCCGACTCATGCGCCTTGACCAACGATTGATTTGAATAAATATATATATATATTTAACTTCTCCCACCACGCATGCATTGTGCTAAAGTTTTCGCCTATTCTGCAAAGTACACCCGAGCTGGAACCGCCGTCCTCAACATAAATAACAGTCTCAAATATATCGTCACGCTAATAACCGAATTGCGTAAGTCATTTTTAGCAGTTTTGAGAAAAACGTAAAAAAACTTCCTAATGATATTGTTATGCCATGGACCTTTCCCCGAGCATTGACTTCCTTGTTTACTTCGTGATATTGGCCAATCAGCAAGATGCAAAAAGTGACGTAACAATGCCCCTTTTTTGCATCCGCTCAGACACTTTTCTCACTCAGACAGAGTTTCGAGCGTGGTTGTAAACATTACCTCGTTTTTGCGTTTTTGAACTCTATTCGTTAGTTTTCAGTTGTGTTTCGGAAACTTAAATAAAAATCAGATAATTTAATGATCACTCTGTCTCTCTAGGAGTTTTAATTTAATTGCAGTAATAAAAATTAGTGTAGAAATAGCTGTGATAGACTAGCCTGAAAATCTTTACCGGTACTTTTAAAAAACAGATTGTTATGTGCGTTGAATCATAATGATGGTTTGAAACACATACCCCATTTTACAGGCGCCAACTCGCAAAATCACTCCAAAATAGCACTGAAAATTATATAAAGTATAGGAAGATTTTTCCGGGGGTCAAAGGTCGGGGAAAGGTCCATTGAAAGTCAATAATTTGTCATGGTTCAATTTTTTGATCGTAGCCGGATTTAAGTTAATTTGTATGACGCAGTTAAGTGACGTAATAATGGCGCAGTGTGACTTAGGCAGAAATGGGTCTATGACTTGGGGACATTCGCAATTTTGCAACTTTACTATATGCACCAGTCCTGAAACCTAAAACTTCCAAAAACGAATGTAATTCTCAGTATCTACAATGTCCGATCCCCAAAATAGCTAATCAGTTTCAATTACATTAATATGCATGGATCAATGATCATATGAGCGTGATAACTAACTTCAATCATTAGTAGGCTTACCATACGTCCCGGTTTAGCCGGCACAGTCCCGGTTTTGACAAGCTGTCCCCTCGCCCCGGCCGGTTGACTCAAATGTCCCGGTTTGTCAGCACGGCTTTCATGGGTAAAAAATTCATATTCATTATTATTAGATTTTTTTTTAACGGTGACAGCCCATTTACCACTGTTTTGCGACACACTTTGCTAGTTCAGAGAGAGAAATCTCTCTATTGTTATGTCACAATTGGTATATGTTTTAATGCGTTTTCTGGCGTTAACTGCAATGTCGTTAGGTTGTCGAAATGCCAAAAAGAAAGTACAAGTTTTCTGATGAGTTGAAGAAAGATTTTCCTTATTTGAAGCAAACTGAAGGAGGAAAGGTACACTGTACGCATTGCAGATCTGTTTTTCTATTAGTCATGGCGGGCGTTCAGATGTCAACGATCATATCCAAAGCAGGAAGCACAAAACATTAAGGCATCGACTAGACTGACCAATTTTGCGATGACAAATTCGGATGATTCTGTGTCGTTGGCAGCCGACATTTGCCTATCACACTGCTATTCATGACCAAAGTTTTGACTGCACCTCTAAATTAATTTCAAATTTTTTTGAGGCTAAATTTGCATTAACTTGTAAATATACACAGTTAGAATTTCTGATGTCCGCTGTCTGATAAGCGGATTCGCTGATTTTGCACGTTTAGCCAGAAATAAATGAGAGTCGGTGCATTGCTCCGCTGTTCTCCTCTGAATTTAATGATGATTTACTTCAAGCTCGAATGGCAACGAAACGCAGAAAAGTTGATGCTAAGTGCAAAGGGTTCAATGGCGCTGAAAATATTCAAATGGAATTTTTTGAGATGCAATGAGGAAATAAATCTATAGAGGACTTGCACGGGCCACGTGACTTTATTACTGGACGGCAATAAAACAAAAACGTCCATTTGGCTCCTGTCAGTTGCAAGTCGGATTATAAGTTTCCGTTTTGTTTGGCTGTTGAAAATGGTTATTTCGTATTGTTCCGTTGGCTGCACGTATAGTATATAGACAACGAAATGAATCTTAAGTTATATTCCACTGATTTCAAAAGATCCGGAACGTCGCGCAATGTGGATATCATCTATTGCCTATTGGCAGAACTGCTTGGTGTCAAGTCCAGAAGCCATCTCACTTGTGTTTCACTGTTTGCGGACAGCACTTCGTTGATGGTGAGTGATAGTGTGCCGTTATCAATTTCTTTAAATATTCACAAGCTCCCTCATTTCAATGGAAAGCAGATGACAAACTACTGTTATTAGTAGGCCTAGGCGTGGGCCTACTTGCAGTTGCAGACTTGACTTGTGTAAGACAGTAAGGAATTAATAATCAATTGCTATAAGCCTTATGGTATAAAGTATTGTTTCCCTAATTAGCAGGTAATCTATTACCAAGTGTGAAAGGTTGAATTGATAACTAAATTTTAACACTATGGGGCCTGGAAAAAATAACCAGAATTCAATTGAATTCGCCATCTAGGAATACGCTC